TTGAGCGAAGTAAAGTGACCAGGACCAGCCTTGACACAAGCTTCCCGCGCAAGGCCAAACAGGATCAAGAGGTCCAAGAACCTGACCATCAACTTCGACACCGCTCAATCCTACTATTTTGGCAGGAACAGCTTCCCATGCGAAAAAACGGCTGATCCAGACAGGCACTCTCATGCGATGGAAGCAATCCTTAACATCACTCAGACCAATGAAGGCTTCGGCCGCAGCCACAGCATCCGGATCATTCATGAACTCAGGAGACACCTCGAACTCAATCTTTCCAAAACCCGCGCTGGTCATCAACCGAACTCCAGGCGGGGCCTTGAAGAGCTGATTTGGTCGGCGGGCATCGGTGATAAGCCTCAGGCGTGTCCGCGAACTCTTCCAAACAAAGAAGATGCCTACAGAAGATGCCGGCCTCGTTGTAAAGTGGAAATATCCAACTCCATGTAGTCTTTGGACAAGTCGGTGGTACTCCTTTTGATTGAACTTGAGCTTGGGATCCCAGTAAGGTGTGATGGGCTCACTCTGATCTAAGTCTTCGACACATCTCAGCTCTGATTTCTCCTCCAAGTACCGAAGGTCGTCACGAGGGAGTACCTGACCAAGATCGGGGCACCCTCTAACATCATCTGGAATAGAGACGAGTTCAGCCTGGTAGGAGGCGAGAGTTTCATTGGTAGGCTTCCAGTCGTATGGAGACCCACCTCGGAGAAGCTCACAGAGTGCTTCCTCCGTCGCTGGTACTCCCGCTGCTGGCGAAAAGCCAACCCATCCAATCGGCTGAGCACCTGGCGTTGCATCGGAGACGGGGTAGAGGACACAGAAGGACCTCGCCCAGCCAACCAATTAAGGGAGTCGCTTCATTCACGTCGTCGATCCTCCTACGAATTCTGCCCTCACGTTGCTTGGTGCTCCTGGCTTGCGCAAGGGGCTACTTGCATATGGAAGGGGGAACAACTCTCGCTGCCCCGCTGCCGGCCAATGTGTCCCACCAGAAGGCAGCCTCCCATCCCCTCTATCAACGAATGAGGGCGGACTAGAGGGGTAATGTCCGCTCCCGGGTCCATCAACCGCCACCGCCACGGCCCCCTCCCTTTCGGCCGCCTTTCTGGCCTTTCTTGGGGGCTGTCTGAGTCTCGTCACCCTCATCGGCAACGATAGCTGGTCCTCCACGAATTTCTCGAACCTTGATCCTTGCTTGGATCAGCTCCAGTTCGTCCTTGTTCTTCTTGGTCGCGTATGTCCTGAACGTTGGGGATACCAAGTCATCAGGCGACCCAAGTCCAGCAAACACCTTTGCGTTCTCCCAAGAAGGTCTGGCAGGGTTCATGTAGGCGTCTACGATGGCCTGCAACCTTCGACGCACAACTTCCTGCCCCATCAGGGCCGGGATGTTAACCTGATCGAAAGTCCCCGAAAAATACAGGCAATCCGTAAGAACCTTCAATCCGTGGTAAACCCTATCAGAAGTCTCTATGTGCTTCGTGCGACACCAAAGGATCAGCCACTGCCTCGGATCACCTCCGTGTCTCTCCATATGTTTCATGACGTGTCAACGGGCCTTCCAGTGGTTTCTCGTCAAGGCCAGCGGTGTAAGACTCATTGCATACGTCTCTCCATCTTTTGTACCTCTCGCCTTGTTCATCAAAATCCACCCAAAGTGTGCGAACCTCTTCGCCAGAAGTCCCAGCTGCGGCCTCGTCCTTCTTGTCAGGCGTGAGGCGCTCCAACAGGTTGTCTGCCTTGGATACGGGCGGGCGGACCGAGAAAAGAGATCGGCGCTTTTCAGCGTCGCCTCCGGCATCCTCCACTCTAACCAATTCAACCTTGACCCAGTGACCCTGTCGAAGCATCAGCGCTATCCTGTCACCAACCCCAACTGCGCTGACTTCCTGCCCCAACTCCAGGCCGCCGAGAGGCTCAGATGATAGTCCACCACAGCGTTGCGTGGGCCTTGGGCAGCGCGTTCGGCTGGGGGCACCTCATGTGCCACTGCCCCGTTATGTCCAAGTCCCAGACGCCTCTGAACAAACCGGCCTCCGAACAAAGCATCAAGGGTCACCTCGTGCCCTGCAGAATGGCCACGCTCACGCTCTACCAAAGAGATGCTCTCCCGAATAACCCTCAGGATCAGGTTGTCATCCACAGCCTGCCGAAATTGATAGATACGTCCATGTAGCCCACGAGGGTACCCCAAGCGGGGCCCAAGGCAGAGAAATGGTCGACCAGCTCTTGGGGCAGATAAATGAAGGCGACTTCAAGGTGGCCCTTGGATGAGACCCGAAACACAACCAGGCGGCGCCCCCCCGTAAACTTAGGGGCAAAGAGCTGTAGCGCGCGATGGTCTGTCTCCTGGTGCGGGCCAAGCAGTCATGTGTTGATCATAGGGGGGGCATTTTTTGGTGGGCCATGAGCGGCAGAGGCCTCTCCCAAAGCTCGGCCCGAAGGGGCGAAGCCAACAACTGGGCTGAAGAGGTCGCATCAGCGAAAACACGCCCCACATGAAGACGCAAACGTTGCTTGCTCTCGTTTTCCTCCGAAAGGGAAAACAAGGGCGGAGCGCCCGCTGCCACGGGGAGTTGATCTTGGTAGTCCTCGAAGGGCAAGGAAAGACCCTTAGGATACAAGCCGGTGGAGATCTGAAAAGATCCTCGAAGGATGTTGGCAGCAGCCACCTCAGAGGCCTCGCGATCTGGGAGGAGTAAGGCGTCTGGCACGGGGACTTCCGCGTGGCGGCCAACCTTGTACCCATTATGGTCGAAGCAGGCCTGCGCCTCTTGGGCAAGCTGCGGATGTCCTTGATCGATGGCGTGAGTCAGGATTTCAGGAATAGAAATCGGGTCTTCTGCGCCAGAGCGTTGATCAAGCGAGAAACCACGTGGCAGTAGAGATGGGGGCCACTGTGTGCTATAGGTTCAAGCGTTCCTGAGGCTTTTAGGTTCTTATAGCTCTCTAGACGCTGAGCAGCTTGAGGATCAAGGACAGGGGTGGAATCCACCATTTGGCCTGGTTTGAAGGCTGAGAGTCACGAAAGGTCCGGTCCCAGCCCGATGTCCCCAAACTCCTTTTCCATGGCCGTCATAGGACGTGAGTAATCCTCGGGTAATTGCCAACCAGCTTTGGCTTTTCCGGAGGCCTTGGCTTTTCCTTTGGGCTTGCCAGGTTTCCCGAACTTGCCATCGGCCTGCTTGCTGGATTGGTCTTCCTTGATTTGGGCACGGAATTGGGCAACCCGGCCATCGACCTCTTTCGGGTTTATCTTCTTTTCACCCCGGAGTCCGCCTCTCCGGAGCACATGCGTAGCGACCGTAGGGTCAAGCTTGCCCAATGCAGGAAGGGGCTCCGGCGCATTCGGGCAGCCCGGGCGATTGCGCCCAATGTAACAGGCGGCGTCCCACCAAATAAGCTTGCCACTTTTGGTATCAACGGGGGCGTGCTTAACCGACCGGGTGCTCTATGCAGACGACGCGTTGATCGTGGCCATTGAAGAGGGGCGAGCGGAGCTGCACATGCAATGCATTGCACGAGCTGGGCGCGCGTACGGTCTGAAGTTCAACTGGAAAAAGCTGGAGCTGATGCCGGTGAGATGCTCGGCCATGATTCCCAAAGATGATGGAAAGATGATCCCTTGCAAATCTTCCATCACGTATCTTGGGAGTGCTTTGTCCGCAGGGGACATGACGGCTGAACTCAATCGACGCCTTGGGCATGGCCAGGGCTGATTTCATTGCTTTGGAACGCGTGTGGAAACATTCTTCATTGCAGCGCAAAAGAAGATTCAAATATTTGAGGCCTGCATTGTTTCGAGACTGTTGTACTGCTTGCAGCACACAGTTTAACTCCCCACGCGTTCGTCAGTCGAATACCCAATCATCAAGTTCTGAGTCAGGCTAAAAAAGCCGTGCTATCAAAGACTTTGCTGTGCAGGCAGTTGTTGCTTATGAAACGTGTGACAGATCTGCCGTCTGGAGACTTCATGCGAACATGTGTTTTCAAGGACGGCTCATTTGATCTTGTGCAGTTGTGGGGCAGTCGACCGCGAGGTCGTCCTAGAATGTGCTGGGCGACCGAAGTGTGCCAATTTGTGCACATTATGGCGGAAGACCCCTCCCATGTCGAAAAAAAAAGCAAGCTGCCACATCCTCCATGCAAGCAGCGTGTAAAGATGCTTTGTTTTGGTGCCTGACAGCTGGTGCCATGCTTTGCCCATGTGTCACTGAACACGAGGCTTGTCACTGACTCATTGCCACTCGCCATGTAGAGCACAAACTGTCTGATAGCTGGGGGCAACCCAATGCCAATGTATGCCAATGTCTTTTGAGTGCTCATGTGTGCACCTCACTTAGTGCTGAAAGCGCACGGTGAAGGGGGTGTTTTGGCACCCCAGGCAATTTAGCTACTTTTGGTGTTACTTATGTAAGCTAAGTAGCTATTCTTTTATGGGCTGCGCTTTCCATGCTTGGTAAATTGGCTAACGCTTTACGTTGCCAGGTCAAGTCACCGTTAGAGAAGGTTCGACTTACCGGTAGCATCCTGTCCTTATAGTGCTGAATCCCTTAACAACAATAATGCTCTCAAAGGGCACGGCCGCATGGACACCAGACGGATTTTCCAGCAGTGTTTGCGAAATTGCTGAGGTTGCAACTTCTGCGGACTGGCTGGTTCACGCCACGCCGCGTGTTAAGTACGAATTTGTGCATGAAAAGGTAGTGGTTAGCGTTGCTGAAGCTAGCCAGCCAGCAAGTTTGGCCATGTGAACTGGCTGTTACGTGTTGCTCTTAACTTGTGTTGTTAATTGTTAACAGGACTGCTTGAAAGAGTCCTTGCGTAAATGGCTACCTTCCAAGAATTGCACCCGTTGAATCTTACTTGCATCCATCTTCCCAAGTTTGGAAGTCTTTGGTACCTGGCCCGTGCCACACACCATCGTAACGTAAAACCAAGTACCCGTGCATCTTTTTCAGCTTGCTTGCATGGAGCCAGTATCTTCAATGCAGGACAATTTTGGCGAAGTGCTGGTTCGATACAATGAGGCCACTTGTCGGACAGCAACATTGCGCCAGGCTCTTTGCCCTCTGTCAAAGTTTCTTGCTTGCTAGGTGATGCGCTTTACGCCCGACTTCCGCAAGCTCATTCCTCTTCTGGCTCAGCGTGGCTCCCTGCTGGCGTTGAGAGTTGTTAGTGCAACTGCAAGTTCGCAACATCTCACGGCGCAAGTCCCAAGCACAAGGTGGAGATTGCTGGATGGACATGAGCAGGACGTGATTTCAAGCAGCTAGAGAGGAGTGTTGCAGGCTTCTGACAGCTTCCGATGATGTGCTGACAAGGGAAGGTAATCTCTCCGTTGCTGCAAACTGCAGGAGCAGCTAGCAATGCTGGCCGCGCTGGGTAGGGCCTGCTGCTTTCATTTGTGGGATATCTTTCATGCTTCAGCAACTGAGCATCAGGATTTCATATTCACCTCGACACACCTTCGTCAGCTGTGTGCGTGCAGATCGATGGTCGGTGGGGAACTCACAGTTCTGCGTGTTACAGCTGCTGGGCTCTGTTTTTGCAACCGCGCTTCGGCAAGGCACCACGGTGGCTCGTTTGCTCCCAACACTTGCAGGTGGAAAGTTTGCGCGGAACATGGCCACCCTGGCCCTGGCTTTTGCTTGCCAGTGGAGCCTTTGTTCATGAGGTTGTGCTGCTTTGGCTTTCCCGTTCCCACGAAATTCCGCTCCTCTCCCTTACAACCTGGCCTACATGCACAGCGCTTACGCCAGTCTCATAGTTGCGGCATGTTGCGATGCGACAGTGCAGAGCTTCTTTCGATGTTTCTTTGAACATTGCAACTCGCGAATTGGAGCACGACCGTCATTTCTGTTTCTTAGCTGATTGTTTTGTGTCTCAACGATTGTTCTTGAGTTTGTAAGCGGTCTTCCGGCTATCATTGACACTCTGATTAGACTGACATGTGTGATGGGAGCTCTGAGCTTACAACCTTGAACTCTAACAACAGTGTGAGTAGGAACATTGAAAAAGTGCTTGCCACTGGGTATGTGATTTGTATGCCGAGGGGCTCCCCCCTTTACTACATCGGCGTGGATTCCATTTCTGTGTTGTCTGCGAAGCTGCTCGCACTCTTGGGTCGGCGGCTTGCCATGCCATGAAACCTTTACGTTGCTGGCATGCAGCTGTTAGACGTGATGAAGACTTGTTCATGGCAGCTGACCGAGCGCGCTTGCTCTCGACATGCTGCCTTGCCCTCTGACTTTCATCAAGTGCCAGTGGGATGAGCTAGCAAGATGAAATCAGATGAGCTTAACAGTTTAACATCATCCAACCTGCACTGGAAGCAAAGTGAAGAGCAGTTCTGATTGACCATGATTACCTCAAAGTATTGAGTCGGATCAAGTTGACTGCAAGCTCATAAAACTTCCACACTTGGTGGCCACCTAATTGGTCGGGAACGACATGCGGATAATGAGAACAGCAAGTGTATTGTAATGAAAGCAGTGATCATATTTGAAATGGCAACATTAAGAAGTCCAATATAGTCATCAGGCCAGTACAGGCACTAGAGCCCGGGAAAAGAATGTGAACAATGTCATCGTCCATCGTAAGGCTTGTGAAGGGGAGGCAGGGACTGAGAGAGGGTTGTGGGTTGGTTGGGAGGATGGTCACCCCGCTATTGGGAATCGGTTGAGTTTTTACTGATTCAACCTGAGACTAATCATGGCATATGTAAGTCCAACAGAGCGACATTGATAGTGAAAACAAGCATGCCCAGCATGTCAAGAGTAGCCATGCGAAGATATAACGCTACAGTGGCAGAGTGCAAGGATACACATAGAAAGAAGGGCCAACCAAGCATGTACAGCAGCTGTTAGAACAACCAAAGCCGCAATATTCCACGCCTCAGAGACATATGCCTATTTCCCGGAATGGTTGGGTATGGAGCAAGGTGCGTGCGGACATCCTTGCCATACTATAAGATCCATGGAGTACGGACCAGCGTACTCCCTGATTCCATTGCCTCACGATCAGCGACGTACTGCGATCCAGAGGGTAGATCAACCCTCTTGTTCCTTCGTTTACGGATTTTATGGGTCCAAAGTGTTGAGTGGCTACGCAAAGGCCGTTTTGGGAAACAGCGCTGGCGCTCTATATGCATACACACATGTGTACGTGTGTATTCACATTCGCACCACAGCAAACGGGGGCCCTGGGTCATTCGCAGGCCGGGCCCGTTCAGACCTCGCTGGCCCGATCTGCTTCTGGCAGGGCCAAGCTCGTCAAATTTGGCTATCACGCACCCTGACTCCAAAGGCCCATGCAACTGACCTGCAGGTTGCACCAGGCGGACCGTTCAGCAGCGACTGATTTCATTGCCTGCAAACAAGAGTCTTGTCGATACGTGTGGAGAAGACCTTGAACGCAGAAATGAGTTGAAGGTGTCACACATTCTTGCCCATTTGACTTGAAGATTAGTCCTGGAGGGTGTAGGGCTCTGAGAAGACTTGGAAATTTGGTGTTAAAGTGTTGTAGGCTCAGACAGCTGGGGATGTGTGGTGCTAATGACCCTTCACTGATGGCATGAAAGGCTGCTGTGTTGGCTCAGATTTTCTTCTCACGCTTCCTACACAAATTTGAGCGGCAGTGGGAGGATTTCTGCTCTTGGTGCAGCTTCAATGGCGACACATGTTCCAAGTTCAAGACCGTGCGCGTTGGTCAGCCTTCATAGCCAATTGGTTTGTGTTCATAGGCACGTCGTCGGCATCAAAATTACATTGCACAAATACGCGCCTGAAGCTGTGGCAGCGGCAGAACCGCCAGGTAATGCGATGTGTGGACAACTTAAGCGGGAGACTCAGTGAGCTCGCATGTTCTGCGGTCCAGGTGCGTTTTCCCATGCAAAACTAGCATTCATAGATGAGCATTGCAAATGGTGTGACAGAGTCGCTGCAATACATGCGAGTCAGTAGGGTCTCATCTGAGCTATAGTCTAAACAGTATGGATGACCACCGGAAAGTACCAGTGGCGCCAAGTGCTTTGCTTGGAGGTGAGTTCGTCAGGATGCTCACGCTGTGCAAGGAAAGTCGTGCCTTTGCGCGAACCTATCGTCACAGGTTTAGGTCTTCGTTCAGCATCTTCAGGAGTATTTGCTCTTCAACCCTGACAGCCCCACAGGCCGGCGCAGGGAGGAAAGAGCGGCGCTTCTGCAATGTGATGTGTCCCTCTGGCACCTCAACTACAGGCCATTACAAGCTTGACCTCGGGAATACAGCTGCTGCTTACGTGGCGCAGGCTTTTCCAGCTTGCAAAATAAAACACTATTGGTGAGCCTTTACTTGTCGAAGTTTGATGGCAGGCACTGGCATTGCTGGACCGCTGGGAGTCAGGCTACCTCAGTGCTGCCGGCACATGACTTGGCTGACAAGTTATCCTTGCAGGCATAGCCAAGCGGAAGGCGGTGTCGTCTACTTACTGCTCGTAGAATGGAGCAGGATGGACCAGGAGAGCATCTACTTTAACTGTTCTGTCACAAGGCCCGACATTTCTGAGAATGGTGATTACTCCTGTGTACGAAACTGCATGCGCTGTCCTCGGTTTCACAAATGTATTAGTAGCTAACCACCACATGCAACCACCCACATCTCGCCTTGATCCAGCAGGACCGAATAGATGGTGGAGATGAAGTTGTGATAACACATTGACTACCCCAAGAAAGCATGTTCCCAAGAAAGCAATTTACAAATAGGTGGTGCAAAAACACAACTGGTTTGCCCAGAGTGTCATACTTCCAACGAGACGCAGTCACACGCTTCCCTGCTGCTGGCTACCGCCGGCTGCTGAGGTACGCCCACCAGCCTCTGCACTGCTTGGGCCTGCAGAGCATCTTGCTTGCAGGTGGATGTTCGCTGAGAGTAATGGATTTAAGCTTCATTACAGCGGTAGTTTCGAAGCCCTAAGCCACATCTGCTGACCAGGTTTTGATGAATGGGTGATTCCTGAGAAGGAGGCCTGGGCGATGCTGTGTGATGCTGTGCGAAAGTGTGCGAGCTGTTCTGCATTGAGAGTCCTGAGCTGCAGAGGTCAGCGGGTATCTACACCTACGTGCTATGTTATTATGTTGCACGCTGTATGCGACATGTCAATTCTTCTGTCCTTCGTGGGCACCGGCCGCTGGCGTGACCCAATCAATCAACGCCTGCGTGAGATTCTGGAGCTGGACTATGTCACGCACCTCCGTCCATCCTGTCAGGGGGAAGTCAAGGCCTGAGAACTCTCGCAGGTGCTTTGTGCGGCATGGAGGGATTCTAGCTGCTTATTTCTGAGGTGATGCCTGATGTCACCTTCAAAGAGTTCCTGGTGGGCTTGCATTCGCCGTACAGAACGACAGAAGCAGCAAGAGTTGAGTGTGCAAGACCATCCTCCAGCAAGCGGAGTGTGATGGACCCACGCAGATCAAGGCCCAGTGATAAGCTGCAAAGAGCTGTGCGAAATGTTGCTCCCCCCTGTAGGTGCAGCGTAAGCTCTTACTTAGCTTGCAGATGCGTGCAATGCCTACACACAGCTTCTGCGATTTGTGCTCCTGATGCGGGGCAAGAAGCATAGACAGATAGATGCGTGCGGCATGTCATCGAAGCACAGAGCTTGCTTGCCCAAATCGACGGCCGGTGTAGAGGAGCCTCGAGGCAGATCAAGAAACTGCCTGCATTTGCATGGCTCGGATGAGACATGCACAGATGCAGAACCGACGTCCATATCACAACCTGAGGCTGCCACTGCGGGGCAGTTGCAAACGGCCGCAAAAGACACAGAAGATGTCCCAGAAGAACGTCCAAGCACATGCTGCGAGACAGGAAGTCGTAATACGGCCCTCGAAGCACAGAACAGCTTTTGACAGTGTTGCACAAAGCAGCTGCACCCGCTTGCGAGCCTTCAGCCAAAGCATCTTTTCTTGCTGAAGTCGTCGTATCAAACCAAAGGGTTGGGTACTTAGCTCAAAGTTGCTGCGCCCATGAGAGCAGAACTGGTAACTAGATAAACTAGACGGCAGAGAGGGACATCTCAATCTGCTTCATGGGCCACATCATGCCTTTTGAGGTGACGCGAAATCTTGCTCATCACATCAATCTGACGAGCTGTCTCCCCAGATGCGATATGATCCGATGACCCGACTTCTACAGCATACTTCCTAACGAATAATCAGGTGTCCAGATGCGGCAGCTGCTTGGCGTCTACCGCACATCAGAGCTACGCGAAGAAGCTTTAGTTCGGCGCACAATCTTGCCAAGCTGCGTTACTGACGGTGGCAAAAGATCAAAAAGTCTGGGCAAAGTAGCATAGCGAAATGAAGGTGACGACTTTCTTCCGAATCGTCGACATTCACAATGAGAAGGCCAGAAAAGGTTCAAAGTTATGGGTCTCTGACAGTTTCCTGCGTGCAGATATTCCGCGTTCGATATGAGGAGCAGTCGGAGCCAGGGGCCTGGATCACTGAGTTGATCAAGTGCAAAGACTCCCAATGTTCGTTCAAGCCCTTCAACTATTTCAGTTGCTTGCCTGGCAGCAAAACCCGATTTTATTTCGAGCATGTTCCACCTGCATGTCAGCATGTCAGCATGCCCTGCTTTGCGGGGTTGAACTGCTTTGGTAGCTAAACCACATCGCCAAGACATTTCAAGCCAGGAATACGTTCACAGCGATTGGTGATGACGTGCTTACATGTTTTGATTGGTCATGCTTGCCTCGGCGGCAAGCGGCAAGTATTCGAGCATCCAAGAATGGCAAACGTGCGGGATTTTTAGAATTTGTGTTTCAGCCTTTCCGAGCCACTGCCTTTGGGAATGCTGTGCAGGCTGGATAGCCTCCGACAGCGACTTGGCTACTGCACCTTCTTTACGTGCCCTTCTGCATGCATGCTTGCAACATTCTGCAATATTGTGCCTAGACCGAGAGGTATATCCAGCCAGAGCAGGTGGTTTTTCTTCTTCCATGCTCCATTGCTCTCTGGAGCTACGCATGCCAGGTCAGCTATGACCTAAACTTTACCAAGTATGACCAGCGCCTGGCAGCCAACATCTTCCTCAGCCACTGGGTCTTTCATTTTGCGCACCCGTCTCTGATTTCACCTGACCCGTCTCTGGCTCAGGTTTAGCAAATGCAGAGAGGCGGGACAACATCTCAGCTGGATCCCTGGAGTTGCATGGGTCGTCCTTGTTCACTTTTGATCTGTTCCAAAGCCCTCGCAGAATTTTCGGTACACGCTGCCGGATGGCACCATCGACAAGCTTGAGCAGGGCGTCCCGCGCAGCAGTGGCCTCAATGCGAGAGAATGCGGTCTGCTTGGAACGTGCAATGTGTGTGCCTTGTCAGGTTGGGATACGTTTGCAAGAATGCCACAGGACTCCAGCCGGGTCTGAACAATTGGGTGAGTCCGCCCGATTCCAGGACGGCAGCTTCCGCTTCACCTACAAGTGCTCGCCGCAGGCCTCTGCATGCCTTTGCGAGATCAGATGTGAAACATCAAGTTGCCGCTGCAATGGCAGGATCGCAGGTTTGCCTTACGCAGAAACCTGCTTATGCAGTTTGGAAAATGGAAGGTGCCCAGATGTCGCCTCTGACCATGTTGAGGGATGCTCTTGGGAACGAGGTGGATGTAAAGGAGGAAGATGTGAACTGGTGGGCAGCAGCAGCGGAGGCGGGATAGTCTGCAGTGCATGCAGCTGATCTTGCTTGCAGCTCAAGGCGCCAGAGGATGTGCTGGAGTTTCTCTTCTGGATGAGAGCAAAATTCAACGACACGTTGAAGGAGCGGTGTGTGCACTACACGGGTTGGCCTACAGTTGTGACAGATTGAGTCTCTTTCTTCTCTCTCGCTCGCTCTCTCCTCCCAGCCTTTCTTTCAAGGCTTTCGAGGCCTTCGATGGCTCGGATGGGAACGGCCTGCTGGGCCTGAGAGAGTTTGAGGAAAGATGTGCGCTCGTGCCATATCCTTTGATGTTTGATCTGGGTGCCTGCAGGAGGGGATGAGACACCTGACGCTCGGACTTTGTGTTTCTTCTTGTGCCATGATCCATAGAGGCGTCACAAAAATACATGCATGGTATCGCTGGAGACAACGTTGCTTGCATGGCAAATACCTCTGGTTTGTAGGCACGTATTTGGAAATATGAGAAGCGTCGAGCTTGATAGACCTTGCTTCGGCTTTATTCATCATTAAGCCTTAATGACGATTGAAGCCGAAGTGACCGACTAGCCGGCCAGTGTAGTGTGCCAACAAATAAGCAAGGGATCAAGCTTCTGGCACAGTGACTGATCAAGCTCTATAACATGAGCTTGAAGGATTTGTTTTGATGACTTGCGAATTCAGATGATGAAGGGCTGTGCGCACTGGAGGAAATGTCAAAAGTTTCGTGGCAGAGATGAGAAGCAGCGATGGACGGCAAGGGCTTCATGTGGTGTTTGTACGCTTTGGGTGGCTCTTTCTCTCACTCTCCCCACATCAGTTTTCTCGCTCCCTCCACAAGCCAGGACTTGTATTCTAGGATATTGTGATATACCGACTTCATGCCATCTGACAGGCGATCTTTCGCTTCTTGGACCCCAGCGGTGAGGGGCAGGCCACGATCTGGAGATCTGCAAACAGTGGCGCCTCCAGATGAGAGCATGTGGCATATGTGGTACAGGTATCCAAAGATGAGTTCCTGACCTTGGACAGCTTCTGGGCAGAGGCCAGCTCTTGCTGCAAGTGAGTGGACAGCTTAGAGCAACAGAGGTGGAGCTCTCTATCCGTGAGTTCATGGGTTGGGCGGAGCGAATGCCGCGCTCCATCCTTTGTGCATATGCAGTTCGCGGTTGTAGGCGATTGTTGATGAGGTTCGGGAGTGACCTGAGAGCTCTTTGGAATGCAGGGCCCTTGTTTCGTGAGGAGATGATGCCGCTGCTCCGTAATTCCTCGTTCATGTCAGCGAGGCCTTGGACGAAGATGAGAGCGGGTCGATCCAGCGCCACGAATGGGAAGAGGTTCTTGACAAAGTCAGAGCCTTACCGCACACTGCAGCTGCGATCCATGCCAGGCATCATTACAACGACTCATCCCCAACAGTTCCACAACATTCAACATTCTGCAACAGCATCGCTGTTTTCACCTTGGTGAGCGGCATCGCTCAGGTCGGATATTTCGGCCCATCCGGACCAATTTTCAGCTTTGTGGACGAGGACCTTCATGATGGAAACATGATCAGGTCTGCTCAGGAGGTCGGATGCTGTTGGTTTCGGCACAACTGCCTTTGTCGGCTTTTTGCTCCTTGTGCTGGGGTTTGGTGGTGTTAGGACGATGGTGGAACTATCTCCTGGAACGAGCGGCACCCTGAGTAAGCCTTGAACCTGCATGTTGTGCGCGGCAGTTTCAACTGGCGCTCATCAATAACACGGTAGCGTGTAAACGAAAGGCCAAGCTTTCACTACTGACTACTTGTTGCAAGTTGAAGCTGCCTGCCCTTGCCTGGCACTCACCGACTATCATACGGGCACCTACTGACAAGTAACGCAAAATCTTTCACAAGTTTGAGTTCATCTGCGGCCGCGCTGGAGAGAATATGGAGGACTACATTCCGGCATCCTATTTTTTGCGACTTTCTTGCTCCCAAAGGCATCACAACAATCAGAACATACCTGACTTTTCAGTTGTGCTTGATGCACACGTACACACATGTTCTTGCACCATCCACTTGCCAGAAACCTCCGCAATCTGCGCAAAGTTGGGTGACAAAGCAGGGCAGCTGTAGCCAAAACGCACTCGCGAATTGATGAGAATGGGGGCTGTGGTGGGCGCCTGGCACTACCAAAGATGTGGAAGGGGCAGGTGACATGGGTTTCTAGGTGGCCTGCAGGACATGATGGGCAATGATTGGTTAATGGCGCGCAGGAGGATTTAGGAGGCATCAGAATTACACTGGATAGCCGTCGCATCCTCCAACACGACTGACCAGTAGTGTCTGATGCCATTGATTGCATCCAGTGCTTGCCCCAAGGTTCCAGATGCTCTGCAAATTTCAAGAGTCCCAAGACCTGCAGTGACAAACGTAGCAGAGCAGTCGAGCAGTCCTGCATTTATCAGGTTTAATTGGCATCGTAGAGTGCCGCCGCCTCCCCGCAGATGGGAGAGTTTTCTTACGAAGGCCAAAGCCTTCCGTTGGAAACATTCTTGCATTTCTGGTCATGTTGGAAACAGGTGACCAGCAAATTGGCAATTGGATTTTGATTTTTAGTTCGTAGGGACTCGTAGAGCCTTGCCGGTGATGGACGATGGACTCATTGGCATGCGCAGACCAAGCCGGGAAAAGCGATTTAGGATTCGCAAACCTACATTACAGAGCAGGGGGGCCATGTAAGCTCGCTGTGTCAGCCGACAACGAGCTCTAGAAAGAATCTTTGTGGGTAGAGCTGGAAGAGAAGCTTAACCCAAGAAGGGTTTACTTTCACGGTTGTTCCCAGGAGGAGAAGCTCGTTAAGAAACATTGGGCTCTCTCAACTACTTCCCTACGTGTTCTTCAATTGTTTTGCCAGCACCAATGCTCTGGCGATCATGAGCATGAGCCTGCTAAGGGTTCTGTCGCCGCAAGTACTGGCCACTACACTCCGCAATTTGCAATCACCATACAGTAATCAAAGCCCTCTTCCCACAGCTGATTTATCTCAGCATCCTTGCCATGCGTGCTACAAACGCGCTTGTCAAGAGGAACCTCAGCATAAACGAGTGGCTTAATGATGCGCGGGGTGTTAGCTCAGTGCAGAAAGATGCCGAGGGACTCCGTAGCAACAGCACTTGGGATGACTCCAGCCTTTAGATCACTGTGGCAGCTTGGAAAAGAGTCTCGCAAAACTGTTCAAAAGATCGAGGTCACGGAGTTGCTCCCGCTATGCGCCGTCAAGCATTTCGAGCTTGGTCCACAACGTTTACAGAGGTGACTAGACTATATCTTGCACTTTCACTGCTGTGAGCCTACAAGGTCGCCCCGAATCACGTGGAAACATAGATCACAGCAGTAGCATGTTCAAGGGTGCCGGAAATGCTTTTGAAAGCCTTTTTCTATTTGGCTGTCTTCGACATTGCTAAAGATATCCCAACACCTTGGCCATGCAATTAGGACACATCCACGGGCTGCGCGGAGTCGTGTTTTGTTACCCAAGCAGCAGTCCTACAATGGTCAGCGTTGGCAAAAGTTATGTGTCCAACATTGTCCAACACATCCCGACCTTCAAGCAGTTTTCTGTGAATTTACTGCAGCAAACATGTCGAAAGCTCGATTAGATGGCTCCAAATTTTCCGAATCTTGATCTTACATATACCTCGCTTGCTAGAGTCCGTGAGCCTTTCGAGCCATATGACTGGCAGACATCAACGCCTTCGCACGACTTTAGGAGGCTCGAGCCCTTAAACCGGAGCCCTAAGCAGGCCCAGAGCCTTGAGGTTCGAAATCAATCCGAGAATCCAGGGCTTGGGGTTGCGAGGCCCAGTAGCGGTCTGCAGTGCACACGTTGGTAGTTTGAAAAGTTTGTTTAGGTTGCTGCTGGGATGGGTTTGCATGGGTCGCGCACGCCGCTCATGCATAGCCCAAACCACGATTCAAGCCTGATAGCCGTTCATAGATGTCGTCGGTCCGGTGCTTCAGCTCTCTAGTTGGCTCTAGGACTCAGGACAAGTTGCGATGCAGGGGCTAAGTAGACTTCGGGAATTAGGACTTCAGGGTTGCGTATGTGGTATGTGGGCAACAGGGCCTTGCCGCATGGATCAGGGTTTCGGGGTTTTTGATGGGGGGTGAAGGGCGGGTGGGCTTGGATTTCGTCGCATGCAACAGACTTTAAGGCTTGGGTCTAGAGGAGTTGCAGTTTTGTCTTCGTTGAAAGGTTCGGAGATATTTAATTTGTTTAGCTCACAGAGGTGAGATTTTTGTTTATCCTGCATTGATTGATCCCGTTGCCTCAATCGGCAGTTCTTGAACAAAAGAATGCCGTCCCGAAACCACCTCTGAGCTGACCCTTGCGACCCAAGATCTAGTTAAAGCATGAAGTGCGATCAGGAGATCCGAAACGGTCCGACTTCTTGTAGTTAAACATCGCTCAAGGCTGTATTCCACTTTTACAGGCTACTGCATTACACCCGAAGAGGCATAGCCTTAAGTGTGACTTGCCCTACAAGTTACTGGCATAATCAATGAACATCTCGAAAGACAATTCTCAGGTATTACATGGTATTCCTGAACGGGCTCTTTAAGGGGCTGGAAACATTCATGATAAGTTCAAAACGTAGTGCTTCCCTACTTGGGCTGTTGCCAGATAGCCAGCGTGGCTTTTTTTGCAGAATCAGAGGCGTCGTTATGATCCTGTCAAGGGCAGTTTGGGGGTTCTACGGTCTTTTTTTGTTTGATCTTGGTGCCCCATTCGTAGGGTGTCTTGTCAGGTGAAACCACATTACCTAGAACATCGCCAAAAGATGACTACTGCATTGCGTTCCTGTTTCTCCTGGCACCCGAAGCAAAGAAGCTAGGGCAACTTCGAGAGGGGACCACGAAGGTCTTATCTTACACGGACCTGCTGTACCTGGCATGCTGCATCATTGTAGGCCTCATCACTCGAAACTGCTGGAAATCTACGTTACATCAGAAATACTGCACAACTGGACCATGAATGCTGTTGCCGGTGGTTTCCAGGCCAAACACTGGCGTTGCTGTCGAGAACACTGTTGCATCGGTGCCTTGATCAAATTTACGGTCAGGGCCTACAGGTCACAGGATCCAGGGTCTAAAGGGGCTTAGGGGAGAGGGATGGAATGCTCAGGTAAGTTAGTTCATACAACGGGATGTTGGTGGTCACTGGCGAGCTTCTGTTCGTGGATGCTACTGAACTAGGCCCTAGAGTAGGTGTGTTGATGAAGAGTTTTGCATGGAGGCTTGGTACACTTTATACAACAATGCGCAGACCATCCAGTGTACCGTGTTATGTTGCAACTCAGGATCAAGAATGTATAGCATCATCAGAAGGATCCCAAAAGCTACATAGCAAAGGTATTGATTTGACAGCCGCAAGATTGCGCACAGAGTCTGCAATCATCACGATTGGAGTTTCTGTGAGGTTGGTGCAGGGAGATCTTTGTTAGTGGCCATCTAATGTTTTGGTTCCCTAGTGAGGTCTGAACAAATTGCACCTCGCTTCTTTAAATAATCTTCAGAAGGGTACACTCAGCCCGAGAACACCCTCTTCATGGATCTGCTAAGGTTGGGATGGCAGTGCGCATTTTGACGTTGAATTCCTCCTTTTCTCCCGTCTGCGGATGATTTCCGAAGTTATCCAGCTGTCCACATACATCATTGGAGATCAAGAGCAACGTTTGCCCGGCCATCTGACGTAGCTTCTCCAAAGCCTCCCGAGCCAACTCCTTGAGTTCACCATCTGACGCCCTCGTCAAGAGGAAGGGTGTTGGGAGTATTGAGGGCGCAGCTTGTCTTTGTGCACACGCTTCAGTCCGCAGAGCTTTGAGGTGCCGTCGACGAGCGCGCCTAGACAGTTTTCCCAAGGTGCTGCTTGTGCCAGGGGTGGCTAAATCGCTTTAGATTTAGGGATAGCCGGCAGCTGCTGCGAACACGGCCATCATTGCCAGATGCCGAGAAATGTTTACCCTCCAATCCCAAGAAGCCCGAGGTGTAGAGCCGTTTCGAGCCCACTCCGTTTGAGACCCTTCCAAACGAGATGTCACAATAAGGCTTCAAGACCTACACACCCTCAAGGATGCCTCAGTCCTCTGAATCATCGGGTATGTTAGCCCAAGACACCTCGACTCTGGCGTTGGAGACAGTCACGGCAAATTATGGATTGCCGCCGGCATCTGTGCCTTCCGCGATAATGAAGGGTGATATTGATAAGGTCTGGGCCGGTTGGCAGCTCAGCCGAAGTTGACCATGGCTTTCAGAAGTAGCATGTAGTGCTTCCTGGTCAGAGCGTAGTGTGCGTACCATAGCGTACCTCAGTCGAGCATATTCCATTATTTACCCACGCAGGGAAGAGCCCACAAACGAAAGGTTTCTGGCTGGCTTAAGGCGTGTTCAGGAAAGAAGGAAGACAGCACGTTGACTTTGGCACCCTTCCCCTGCTTTCACAGGCCCCGGCTCCTCCTGCAAACAGAAGCGGCCGAGGGGTAGACCTGTCGCTTGCAGGCCGTT